GGTTTTATATTTACTGCATGCAACAGTAATATAAATGAGTAGAGCTATTTGGTAGATCAGATTCTTATGCATTTAAAGGTATTAATTTGCTTTTTATAGACTCCGGAGAAAAAACAATCAGAACCTTCCAGGGGAAGAAAAAGAAAAGCAGAGAACCAGAGTGAAAGCAGCCAAGGTATGCTAAAAAAAATATCTTTGAATTATAGCAAATCAGTTGAGTATTACATGTATTTAGTCAAATTATATTTGCTTGAACACATGAAATTGAGAGCTTGTCGGCACAGCCCTGAAGTGCAAACTATGAGGGCATGAATTGCAATGCATACTAAAATTTTGTACTGTATCTGCTCTGTGTAGATCCCACTAGTGCAAACTAGAAGGTTTCTAGTTCATGTTTCAAACAGGACTACATTAACACAAGCCAGGTATCATTTAGTTCATACTAACAAGGTCTACACAGGTCCATTACAGTGCACTTCAGCCCTTGCTACAGTTCACGCATTGTAATCTGCACTGTGGTGCCATTTAGACAAGCTTAGACAGCCTTACAGTGCTCTATGCCTGAGGCAAGTGATGGTTTTTAACTGGCGAATAAAATGTATCTTTTTCCCAATTATCAGTCTTGAGTAGGGACAGGCAAGTAGATTCTATATCTGAGCTTTTAAATGTATAAAATAATTTTGCATAGCTACATTTAGCTGTTGCCATTGTGACATTTATTCAGAACCGCAGCAATTTTTCTCATTAGTGTACCTCCACAGTTACTTTTCTTATTCCAGTTGAAATTTGTGGTTTTAAGGTTTTCAGTTTCTTGCTCCATTATTATCCTGAGTGGCATTTTTCCATCCAACAGATCTTCATAGGGGAGGATTAGAATAGTTGGGGGATAAGTCGCGTGAAATAGATGACTTGGCTCTGATGCAGCTTGACTTTGACTTGAATCCAGCCATAATTGTTACTTTTCAGAAGCTGTTTCACCTTAGTGAAATGTATGGTAGTCTCAGTGCATTCCCAGTGGATAAGTATACTGTATTCTTGTTCAAAACACAATCATGATAGTTATTAATTGTTACTCATTTAGGCAACTCGGGGATTCATTGAAATATCATGTCTTTCTTTAAGCCTTTGAGGTAACTTTTTTAGGACAGGGATGGTGGAAACTCAGAAGTCTCTAGTAACTATCTGACATAAAGGAAAAAGTACTTGAGAGCAGGGCCTATTTTATTATTTTGGTGGTCCATTTGAACTACCGTATTTTAGCGAATATACCCACACCCAAATATAAACGGCACCCAAATATACTCTGCTGTTTTTGCTATTTCGGTAAAAAAAAAAAAATCTTGTATACCCTGCACACAAGTATAACCCGCGGGGTATACAAGACTATGCCGGGGGTATATTTACGGGGTGTGTGTGTGGAGGGGGGAGTAGCCAGCCACTCCCCGCCCTGGTTCCTGCACAGCCGACAGCCTCCAGGAGGGGGAGCGATCCAGCCGGGCGTCCTCCTCTGCTTGCAGCCTCCACACGCTGGCCCTGCTGCGAGCTGGCTTGGTGATCCTGCGTGACCCGCGGGGTATACAAGACTATGCCGGGGGTATATTTACGGGGTGTGTGTGTGGAGGGGGGAGTAGCCAGCCACTCCCCGCCCTGGTTCCTGCACAGCCGACAGCCTCCAGGAGGGGGAGCGATCCAGCCGGGCGTCCTCCTCTGCTTGCAGCCTCCACACGCTGGCCCTGCTGCGAGCTGGCTTGGTGATCCTGCGTGATCGGCGGCGGCTGCAGGCAGGGGAGGGCGCCTGTCTGGATCGCGCAGGAGCAACAAGCACCATACCCTGGCCCTGCTCCTGTGCGCAGGTGAGTGGGGCCAGGGAGCGCGGGAGGTTGCAAGAGGGGTACAAAGGAGGCTGCGGAGGGAGGGGGAAGTTGTGGTGATCCGCGGCGCGGGCCACCCGCTGCTCAGAACAGGGCTCCGGGCTCCTTCCCGGTACTTCTGTTTAAAAAACCCCAAAACCAAAAAAACACGCCAGTATACCCCGCACACGAGTATACCCCGCGGAGGGAGTGGGGAGGAGTGTGGGGTTTGTAAAAATGAATATAACCCGTGGGTTATATTCGCTAAAAGACGGTAATAATATCTCCTTTAAATGCAAATATATAAGCCAGGAGCTAGAGCATTGTTCATTTGCCTCTTGCTCATTTACTCTTTTGTGTTTTGTCATTGTGGTTGGTTCTTGTCCTGTCTCTGAATTAATACTTGGATAATTTACTTGTTCTAATCACCGGATAGGCCTGTTGAACTGGCATTCAAACTATGTGAATTAATTCTAAAGATCAAATTTGCTAATTTAAAATACTGTTTGCCTTGGTTGCCTGATTTTTCCAGCCAAGGGTATTTACTAGTCTGGGCTGCTAGTGAAGGTTTTTAGACTTCTTGGTGGACAATCAGCAAACTTGGACTCTGGCAACTGAGAGGACAGAAAATCAACTGATTAAAAGGAAATTGGAGCCAAGTGTGAGGCTTCTGGGGTTTATCTATAAAGGTGATGTAGTGGCACATGTTCCTTCCCTTTACTGGAGTGATCCATAAGGCATGACTGCCCTAGAAATGACTTGGGAAGGAGCAATGATTTGGGAGCTTTAAATATAAAGCCTTCTTGCAAGACCTTCTGTAACTAAAAGATAGAGAACTTTTTTAAATGGGTGTTTGCTATTTTTTGGATTGGAAAAATCTGTACTCAATGACTGGAAGATAGCTAATGTAATGCCAATATTTAAAAAGGATTCTAGAGGTGATCCCGGGAATTACAGACCAGTAAGTCTAACGCCAGTACCGGGTAAATTAGTTGAAACAATAGTAAAGAATAAAATTGTCAGACACATAGAAGAACATAATTTGTTGGGCAAAAGTCAACATGGTTTTTAATCTAGGAAATCATGTCTTATTAATCTATTAGAGTTCTTTGAAGGGGGTCAACAAACATGGACAAGGGGGATCCAGTAGATATAGTGTACTGAGATTTCCAGAAAGCCTTTGACAAGGTACCTCACCAAAGCCTCTTATGTAAATTAAGTTGTCATGGGATAAAAGGGAAGATCTTTTCATGATTGAGAATTGGTTAAAAGACAGGAAACAAAGGGTAGGAATAAATGGTAAATTTTCAGAATGGAGAGGGGTAACTAGTGGTGTTCCCCAAGGGTCAGACCTAGGACCAATCCTATTCAACATATTCATAAATGATCTGGAGAAAGGGTAAACAGTGAGGTGGCAGAGTTTGCAGACAATACTGAACTGCTCAAGGGGAAGGGGCACAAGCAGGGGAGGGTGCAGGAGCAGGTTGAGAATAGGTGTCTGGCTGGGGGGAAGGTGTGGGAGTGAGCTGGGGATGTGGGGTCTTATTGGAAAGGATGAGTGAAGGGACTGGAGGTGCAGGGTCTTGGTGGATGGGATGTATGAGGGAACTGGAGGTACAGGGTCTCAGCAGAGGTAGTATTCTCAGCTGAGGATGCAGGGGGTGGGGTCTTCGAAGGGCAGTGTGTGAGGGGCCTGGGACGCAGGGTCTTAGCGGAGGGAGTGTTCGGAGGGCTGGGGGTGTGGGGTTTCAGCAGGGCAATGTGTGAGGGGGCGGGAATGTGGAGTCTCGGCTTGGGAGGTGGTGCTTATACCCTGAGCCTGCCCTGCTACAGATACGCTTAACTCTTAACCTCCCCCCCTCCCCGCCCCCTGGGCACCTAAGCCAGGCATGGATTTGCTGCTGCCCTAGGGCTTGGGTGAGCAGGTTCAGGGTGCTCCAAACCCGCATGTGGCCCTGCCCTCCCTCATTTCCGAAGGTTGCAGAGACTCCATCCCTCCACATTCCTAAAGCTTGTCAAGTGGAGTTGCTTTGCCTTGGCTCTCTAGCTGGTATTTCGGGAGATAACCGAGGAGTTTCGGCTCTCTCCCTCTCCCCCGGGCAAAGGGAAATCATGTCTTATTAATCTATTAGAGTTCTTTGAAGGGGGTCAACAAACATGGACAAGGGGGATCCAGTAGATATAGTGTACTGAGATTTCCAGAAAGCCTTTGACAAGGTACCTCACCAAAGCCTCTTATGTAAATTAAGTTGTCATGGGATAAAAGGGAAGATCTTTTCATGATTGAGAATTGGTTAAAAGACAGGAAACAAAGGGTAGGAATAAATGGTAAATTTTCAGAATGGAGAGGGGTAACTAGTGGTGTTCCCCAAGGGTCAGACCTAGGACCAATCCTATTCAACATATTCATAAATGATCTGGAGAAAGGGTAAACAGTGAGGTGGCAGAGTTTGCAGACAATACTGAACTGCTCAAGGGGAAGGGGCACAAGCAGGGGAGGGTGCAGGAGCAAGTTGAGAATAGGTGTCTGGCTGGGGGGAAGGTGTGGGAGTGAGCTGGGGATGTGGGGTCTTATTGGAAAGGATGAGTGAAGGGACTGGAGGTGCAGGGTCTTGGTGGATGGGATGTATGAGGGAACTGGAGGTACAGGGTCTCAGCAGAGGTAGTATTCTCAGCTGAGGATGCAGGGGGTGGGGTCTTCGAAGGGCAGTGTGTGAGGGGCCTGGGACGCAGGGTCTTAGCGGAGGGAGTGTTCGGAGGGCTGGGGGTGTGGGGTTTCAGCAGGGCAATGTGTGAGGGGGCGGGAATGTGGAGTCTCGGCTTGGGAGGTGGTGCTTATACCCTGAGCCTGCCCTGCTACAGATACGCTTAACTCTTAACCTCCCCCCCTCCCCGCCCCCTGGGCACCTAAGCCAGGCATGGATTTGCTGCTGCCCTAGGGCTTGGGTGAGCAGGTTCAGGGTGCTCCAAACCCGCATGTGGCCCTGCCCTCCCTCATTTCCGAAGGTTGCAGAGACTCCATCCCTCCACATTCCTAAAGCTTGTCAAGTGGAGTTGCTTTGCCTTGGCTCTCTAGCTGGTATTTCGGGAGATAACCGAGGAGTTTCGGCTCTCTCCCTCTCCCCCGGCTGCTGCTGCCACTGTCTCCTCCCCCGTGTCCAGCTGAAGCCAGGGCCTGAGTAGTTTGGCTGAGTGGCTGCCGTGGGATTAACTCTGCTCCCACACCCTCGCCCTGCCAGGGCCAGGCCTGCAGTACCCCTATGCGATCATGTCAGGCAGGGACCCTCTCGCCCATCTGCAGCTGCAGCTTAGGAGGCGGCTCCCCCAGGGGACATGGGGCAGCAGGGGAATCAGGCTTGGATGGTGGAGGGGACCCAGCCCCAGCAGCAGCAACTCCTCCCCAGTGGCGCAGTCCCCCGAGGTGTGAAGCGGGAGCCAGAGTTGGAGTAGCTCATGCCCTGAGGGGACGGCTCTGAGACTGGCCACAGCAAGCGGCTGAGGATGGAGGTGAGCAGTGGCGTGAGTAAGCAGATGACATCACTCTGTCATCCCACAGGAAACATTTTATATCTATAGAGATGTTCCCTGCAATAGCTGAGGCTATCACCGACATTTGAAACAGTGAAGGGGCAGCTGCATTCCTTACAGTGATTAGATGTTAATGTAATTAACTGTTACAGAAGATCTTCTGATTGAATGAATGGTTTGCATTTTAAAACAATCGTTTTTATCAATTTCCATTATTATTGAAATTATTCTAGGAAATTTTTAGTATGTGTCTTGAGATTAATTTCTCTTCTAGCTACTTATGTGCGATGTAAAGAATAATATAGACAGTGTAACTTTGCCTTGAAATATATTTCTTGTACATTTTTCAGGGAATTGTAGGCTATCCCTTCCCCTTTTAAGCCAAAACAGCGAAGTAAAAGATATATTGTTTTAAAATACTTGTGTTTAAATGCTCATTTTGATTTGAGCGTTTACTTCTATTCGAATGCACAATTTATTTTGTTCCAGTATAAAAATAAAGTTTGAGAATCTGACAAACCGTCTCCTCTCACTTACTAGGTCTCTTAACTGCTGTGGTACAGTCACTTCACAGAGGCCTTGTCTATTCTAAACTTTACTTTTTGGGAAATTTCCATCAGCTGCTCATCTAGTGCATCCATCATTGCGTCCCTGATGAAGTGAACAAGTGATAGTAAAAGCTGAAAATTTTAAACTTTTCTTAGTGTAGACCAACCTGGTAGAAGAAACTCTTGTTTCCTGTTTACAGTGTTGTTACTGCCAACAAAAGTTTGTAACCGCAAAGTATCCTAATGTAGATAAGGAGTAGAATCCTTTGTGCTAGACAAGACAAAAATTTCTAATGTAAAAAACAAGAAGGGAAAAAAAATCTGTTTGCGGCATAGGATAACCTTTATATTATCCTTTTGCATCAT